GTGTTTTAGGCCGATTTCACGCTAGGTTGTGTTCGTGATATTTCAGGTCCTAACAAGTGAATGAAGGTTTAGGAGCGAGTTCGGGGTCGATTGGACGAAGATCGGGCGCGAGGCAAGTCAAGAAGGAGGCCACATGGGTACACCCACAACTCACACGGCCGTGCAGGTGACCACTTTGGCCGTGTGAGATTGTGCGAGCCTTCACACGGCTTGCCCTGACATCCACACGGCCGTGTGAAGGAGTGGTTTGGCCGTGTGGAATTATGCAAGAGCAAACACGGGCTGGATGGAAATCCCACACGGCCGTGCGACCCTGGCCGTGTGGGAAGCCTGAAGATCGAACTAATTGGAACGCAGCGTTTTGACTCACACGGGCAACTGGGTATGCCACACGGCCGTGTGGCCCAGCCCGTGTGAGTCGGGAATTCCTGGTTTTAACCCAATTTCGGGCAGCAAGAGAGAGAATCGGATTTTTTGAGCAAAAACAGAGCCCTAGAGAGAGAAAGTACGAAGAACACATCCTAGAAGCTATCTTGGAGCTGGGTTTCATCAAATCAAGCTTGGAGATTGTCATAGGAGTGGAAATCATCATCCCAGAGCAAATTCTTCCCATAATTATGAGTATGACTGCTTTGTATCTTGTTTTCCTCTCTCTATGGAGTAGAACCCCTCTCTCACTTGGGGATGAAGAACCCTAGTTCTATGTGTTAGGGATTGATTGTAATGACTTGGGATGATATTACTGTTTGATTTTAATCGAATGATGCATGTTTATTGAGTCAATTGAAGTCTGATCAACTTTTCCTGATTCCTGCTGCAATCTGAGATAGATAGAATCTGATTAGGTTGCTAGAGTCTCATCATTCGGAAGTAGGAGATTGACTATACGAGAGTTAGCCAGTTTACTGCTTTGTACTGGAATCCAATTCCAGTAGTGGAGTTCTGTTCTTACTGCTTCAGCTTTCTATCCCGGTGAAGACTAGTCGTCTGCCGGTTAGTTAGACTGAGAGGGTTTGGTCAGCTTAAGAGATTCCAAGCTACTGTCGGATCTTCCGCAGTCTAATCAATAGTAAATCAACCCAGGGAAATACAATTGAAACCTAACTAAGGAGCTAGGGGGACTCATTCCCGAGTGACTCTTATCTTCTTGAGAAAACAGTATCAATTCCTGCTTTCTTTCTGCTTTTGCTTTTAAACAACAATCACTTACTTTAGTTGGCTAGATAATAGATAATCACTGAGTAAGCAGTAGATCTAGACCCCGGGTTGATAATATAACTTGTCACTTTACTGCATTCCCGGACTGCGATTATACTTGGTCGCAGTTTGGTGTTGTGTTTTGGCGTGTTAAGTTTTTGGCGCCGTTGCCGGGGACTCTCTAGGTTATTGGGGAAACGTGAGAATTTGTTACTCTAGCTTTTTATTTACCGCATTTTATCTCTTCCACCTGTGTGCCTTCACGGGTTGCTTCTGCTGGAGGAGCACCTGGCAGAGCTGGACGTGCAGCTGGAGGAGCACCTGGCAGAGCTGGACGAGGCCATGATCGAGGGGCAAGAGATACCATTCAAGCCGATCCCCATCTCGCCCCGGCTTGCTACATCATTGGAGGAGCCACCAGAGTTGGAGCTTAAGCCCCTCCCATCTCACTTGGAGTATGCATTTCTCCGGGAGGGGAATAAGCTCCCGGTTATTATTAGCTCGGATCTGACACCCGAGCATAAGAGCAAGCTGGTGGCTCTGCTGCAGAAGTATGCCCGGGCCATGGCATGGAAGATCACAGACATCAGAGGCATTTGCCCATCCTTCTGCTCCCACAGAATTTTGATGGAGGATGAGGTTAAGCCAGTCAGGCAGCCATAGAGGATATTGTCTCCTAACTTGGAGGCAGTGGTCCGGGCAGAGATTGTGAAGATCATGGATGCAGGGATCATCTTTGCTATATCTGATAGCAAGTGGGTCAGCCCCACCCAGGTGGTCCCGAAGAAAGGCGGGATGACTGTGGTCCTGAATGAGAAGAAGGAGTTGATCCCGATGCAGACCGTGACCGGCTAGAGAGTCTGCATCGATTACCGGCGCCTGAATGACGCCACCAGGAAAGATCATTTTCCCCCACCTTTCATTGATAAGATGCTGGAGAGGTTGGCTGGCCATGCTATTGCTTCCTGGATGGCATGTCTGGTTACTTCCATATTCCTATTGCTCCGGAGGATCAGGCGAAGACCACATTCACCTGCCCCTTCGGTACCTTTGCTTAACGGAGGATTCCATTTGGGCTGTGTAATGCACTAGCGACCTTTCAGAGATGCATGCTGGCGATCTTCGACCGACTGGTTGGAGAGATCATGGAAGTCTTCATGGATGACTTCTCGGTTTATGGAGACTCCTTCTCTCATTGTCTCCATAACCTGGAACTCGTTCTGAAGAGGTGTGAAGAGACGAATCTGGCACTCAGCTGGGAGAAGTGCCATTTTATGGTTCGTGAGGGTATTGTGCTCGGGCACAAGATCTCCAAGCAGGGGATTGAGGTGGATCGCGCGAAGATTGAGACGATCAGTAAGCTACCTCCTCCCGTTTCTGTGAAGGGGATTCGCAGCTTTCTAGGTCATGCAGGCTTCTACCGGCGCTTCATCAAAGATTTCTCGAAGATTGCCCTGCCTTTGACCAAGCTGCTAAAGAAGGATGCACCATTCCAGTTCACTCCCGAGTGCACGGCTGCATTTGAGACTCTGAAGGAGAAGCTGACCCATGCCCCTATCATGGTAACTCCTGACTGGTCTCTCCCTTTTGAGTTGATGTGCGATGCAAGTGACTATGCAGTCGGAGCAGTTCTGGGTCAGAGACGCGAGAAGCACTTCCAGCCCATCTACTACGCGTCGAAGACCTTGAACGATGCACAGGAGAACTACACCACCACTGAGAAGGAGCTCCTCGCTGTGGTGTATGCATTTGACAAGTTCCGGCCATATCTGGTGCTCTCACATGTGGTGGTCTACACAGATCACTCGGCGATTCGCTACTTGATGAGCAAGGCTGATGCAAAGCCTCGGCTCATCCGCTGGATCCTGCTTCTGCAGGAATTCGACATAGAGATCCGGGACAAGAAAGGAGCCGAGAATGTTGCTGCAGATCATCTTTCACGGTTGGAAGCCCCTCCGGTGGACAACTTCGTGAAAGAGATCGATGACTCCTTCCTGGGTAAGCGATTGCTGGCGATGACACTGGTGGACAGCGTGACCCCGTGGTATTCTGACTTTGCCAATTATCTGGTGGGCAAGCAGTTACCCAAGGGGATGGCTACTCATGCAAAGCGCAAGTTCTTCTCCGATCTGAAGCATTACTTCTGGGAGGATCCTTACCTCTTCAGAATCGGAGCAGACGGTGTGATCCGGCGCTGTGTCATGGAGCACGAGATGGGAGACATCCTGTCTCAATGCCAAGAGGGACCTACTGGAGGTCACCATGGAGGTAACCACATGGCGCGGAAGGTGCTACAGTCGGGCTTCTATTGGCCCTCGCTCTTCAAGGATGCAGACTCCTTCGCACGCCAGTGCGACCGCTGCCAGAGGTCAGGTAACATTTCTTCCCGGGATGAGATGCCCCAACATATCTATGTTATTTGTGAAATTTTTGATGTTTGGGGTATCGATTTCATGGGCCCATTCCCTCCATCTCTTTGGCAATCTGTACATATTGGTTGCAGTGGACTACGTCTCGAGGTGGGCAGAAGCTCAAGCCATGCCTACCAATGATGCAAGACGAGTCTGATCCTTTCTGAAGCAGCTGTTCTCCCGGTTCGGGACACCCTGTGCCATCATTAGTGATAGAGGGACCCAATTTCAAGGTCAATTCACTAAGCTCCTCTCTCGCTATGGTGTTAAGCATCAGGTGTCGGTGGCCTACCATCCCCAGTCAAATGGGCAGGCCGAGCTGACGAACCGGGAGCTAAAACGAATTATTGAAAAGACGGTGGATCAGTCCCGCAAGGATTGGTCCACCAAGCTCGATGATGCTCTTTGGGCGTATAGGACTGCCTATAAAAATCCGATTGGCACTTCTCCCTATAGGCTTGTCTATGGGAAGGCGTGCCATTTGCCGGTAGAGCTAGAGCACAAGGCCTTCTGGGCCATTAAGCTGCTAAACATGGATTTGAGTGTTGCAGGTACAGAACGAAGTTGCAGCTGCTGGAGTTGGATGAGTGGCGTTACCACGCCTACGAGAACACACTGCTCTACAAGGAGCGCACCAAGCGTCTCCACGACGCTCGGTTGAGGGGCCCGAAGGAGTTTCAGGTAGGTGATCGTGTTCTGCTCTTCAATGCACGCCTGAAACTCTTTCCGGGTAAGCTCCGTTCGAGGTGGTCGGGACCCTTCACGGTCACCCAAGTTTTCCCGCACGGTGCGGTGGAGATCAGCAATGCTCAAACTGAGCCATTCAAGGTGAATGGCCACCTCCTAAAGTTGTATTTGGGAGGTGCTGTCGAGCGCGCAGAGCTGCTGATCAAGCTCGAGGACCCTTAGTTCCTCTACTGGCATCCAGCTAAAAGACGGTAAAGAAGCGCTTGTGGGGAGGCAACCCCACCTAGGTTTGCATTTTCTTACATTTTTCCTTTTGATTTTTTTGTGTTTTTTGAGTCTTGAGGGGTTGTTCACGAGTTGTATGTCATTCTGGAGTGAAAACAGGTCAATTTCGGAGTTGTGGCAGCTCACACGGCCAGCCCTGAATGCCACACGGCCGTGTGGAAAATAGGTTAGGCCGTGTGAGCTCTCGCAGAATTCCACATGGCCAGATGAGATGGTGACACGGCCGTGTGGAAATTTTCCCTGGCCGTGTTTGCTCTCGCATAATTTGGCACGGCCAAATGAGCACTCGGCACGGCCGAGTGAAGATTCCTCGGACAGCCCGTGTCGGCCGACACGGGCAAAAGTGCTCTTGACACGGCCGTGTGAGTCAGGCCGTCTGGCCGAGACTCGGCCTATAAATTCGGCCGACACGGCCGAGTCCTCAAAAATTTCAAAAATCCTCACCGGAATCCTCTGTTCCTCACCGGAAAACCGCAACAAAACCACACTTTTCGATTTTTTCAGCCATTTTTTGTCATTTTTCCACCAAACCAACAACAAACCCACCCTTCCTACACAAATAGCGGCCTATCCCTCCATTTTGAGGAGATTTGGCCGACGTTTTTGTCGCAGGAGGCGATTTCTGGCGAGGCTCCGACGAGCACTTCCGGGCACTTTTTCGGCGTTTCGTCGCTTCCATCGCCTTCCCCTCATCATCCCCTACACCTCTACTTGAGTCTCCAGGTTTGATTTTGCCCTTAACTTTGTTAATTGTGGAGAATTGGGTGTTAGGGCGCATGTTTAGAGAACCTCATTGAATCTTGTGATTTTTGTGCAATTGATTAAGGGGACTGCATGGAGTGTGTTTGAATTGTGTTGGGCAAAGTCCCTCTTGGTTGTTTACCTTAATAGTGCACACAAGGTGTTCGATGAAATGCCTGTTTTTCATGCTATGTTGTGGGCACCGGTTGTGGCCCTTATTGATGTGTTTTGAGGGTGTGTTTGCTATGGATGTGAACCTTAAGTTGCCTACTTTATCGTGAATGTGCACCCCCACTCAGATTATGCTTGATTTATCGAGTTTTTGACCCCCGAACTATGGATGAAACCATGGTTAGGCTGTTTTCTGTTCTTAAGTGTGGGGGTGTGATTAACATTTTCCTTGGCTCTTTTGGTTCCACTTTGGGCTGTTCTTTTGCAGGACCATGTCGAAGCCCAACCTCCGGCATCAATATGTTCAAGATTTGAGAAGGGGACCCTACCAGGATTGTTTTAAGAACGTCCTGGCCTGCAAGTTTGGGCAGCATCATTACTGGTCCAAGCGAGAGTTGGAGACGCTGAACTGCTACGAGCACCTCTCCCCCGTTGTCACCAACCGCTACTGGCGCCGCCTACTCAGCATTCGCGAGAAGGTGTACCATGAGCTCGTGCTCGAGTTCTACACTAACTTCGAGCACGTAGCCACGGACAATTGGAAGGACGACGAAGCCGTCCAGTTCCGGCTCGGCGGTGTACCACGCTCCATGAGCTACGACGAGCTGGCGAACGCCCTCGGCCTCAACCTGGTCAATGACAGGAACTACCTCACCGAGAGCGCTGAGCCAGCGGTGGTGGACTTCTGGAGGCTATACTTCAGCCTCGCTCGGCCACGTCAGCTTCCCTTAAAGTCGGGGAAGACAAAGGCCAGCACATTGCAGCTCAACAACCGCATCCTCCACCACATGCTGGCCAAGTCTTACACCCCAGCCTCAGACAGTGCCAGCGCCATCACCAAGAGATCCCTATACTTCATCCAGTCCATGCGCCAGAGGGATCATCCCCTTCACTTGGGCTCGATGGTGGCGACGACCTTCGAGAAGAGTGCTTCTGAGCTGAAGAAACTCCACTGCTCTCCCCTCATCACCCGCCTGGCAGACCACTTCCAGATATCCCTGCAGGGGTGCACAGAGCAGGAAGAGGCCACTCCCTTTGGCAGGTTTACGATCAACAAAATGCAACTGCTTCGGGAAGAGCGCGGTGTCATGTGGATCAAGGGGTTTCCTCAACCTCAGATCCCAGCGGAGGTCCAGCCGGAGGTTCCAGAGGGTGCAGCTGATGAGGAGGTCCATCCCGAGGACGTGGATGATACTGCTGCCGCCCGCCCCACCACCTTCGAGTACGGGGGTGGCAGTTCCAGCGTCCCCGGCCAGGACTACTTTTCTCAGCAGTTCGAGCAGCTGCGGCTCCAGAATCAGCAGCTCTACGACTGTCAGATGCAGTTTCAGCAGCAGTACTCGGCTCACCATGCCGAGTACCAGACCAGGATGGCAGTGTATGATGAGCGCCTGGACAGGATGGAGACCCAGCAGGGGATAGCCTTGGCGCGCATCGAGAGGGAGCAGGCCCGAGCTAGGCGCATGCAGGAGGTACAGGGGCATCTGCTCCAGCTGCTACCGGGCGAGTAGCCAGTTTGGAGGACTTCCTGGGAGGACTCTCCACTTCCACCTCCCCCAGCTTATGACGACGATGCATTCATGAATGACATCGATCTGGACAACCTCAGCGACGAGTAGGCTGTACTCGTTGCCCATCTCAGTGTGTTTTGTTTTTCGTTTTAGACTTGTGTGTTTTTGCTCCATGTGTGAGGAGCTTGAACTTAGTGTCGTTTGTTTTTGTTTGTTTCTTTTGTGGATTGTTTTTGCTGTAGCCGTCTGGGCTAACACTTATCCCTAACACAACATGTGCTAGTGTGTTCTTGGTGTTCGATTCGTGCAGAACTGTCCATCTTCCCGTTTGTTTCTCGCTGACTGGTCCACTTCCAGTCCCCCAGCAGTTTCAATCCGGTAACATCGTCCCCCTTATCTCTCCCTCTACTCCATTGAGGGCAATGTCGTGCTTAAGTGTGGGGGGGTGCTTTGTATCGGTTGGAATATATATTTGGGTGCTTGGAGCCTAGTCCGCTGTCCGAATCTTATGATTTGAGGGCTCCAAGTACTGCTGTTTGATCATATTGGCACTATGTTTTGATTGGTGAATTGAATGGTTTTTGGATTGATGCATGAAAGCTTGATTGTGACTAGGACAACCTATGATGAGGACTGAGACGTGCAGTAGAATTGTGTAGGGGTTCAGTTTTTCAACTGTTTGCTTACCAATTGTGACTTGGATTGATTACTTGTTCTTGACAGTCGTTTATGCATCAAGTTCAGGGTATCAGAATGTGAGATAGAGCATATAGGTAGCCATGTGAGATTTGAGCTTGCTCGTTTCTTTCTTGTGCGATAGATCCCTCTTCCATGATGTGTAGCATTCACGTTGTCACTAGCTAAGATGATGGGGGCATAGGATTAGCCCACGACCAAATTTGACTGTCCTGATGTGCCATATCCCCTAGTCAGCCCTTTTGAGCCGTGTGTTATCCTTTCTTTTGGTCTGAAATGAAAAAAAATCACCCTTTTGCATCTTTTAGAAGGTTCTACAGAGTGGTTTTTTACATATTCTCTACTGTTTCTGCTAAATTTGATGTGAGTGTTGGAGGTATTGCTTAAAAGTTGGGCTGGGCATGTGTTTGAAATATGTGCAGAAGTGGTGGCTCTCTTAAGAAATGAAAAGAAAATGAAAGAAAAAACCAAAGGAAAATTGAAAGCAAAGAGAGCCACTACCAAAAATCTGAATAATGCCCAGTAAGTAGTGTTTCTTAGTAGTCTGGCTTGGAAATGCTGACATTTATACCTCCTTCGCTCTTGTGCTCTTGAGATATTGAGTAATGCAGAATAGCAGAAAGGAAATACCGGTTTGTTTGACAGTGATTGTGTGGGTTTGGAAATGTGGAACCTTGTGCTATGACTACTTCCACCACCTAAAAGGCCTTTTCCCCATGTCCAAGACCCTAGCCAGTCATTTGAACCTGTGTCTAAGACCTCCTGATTAGTTAGTGGTGACACCCCATATGTGAACTCTAGCATTTAGAGGCTGCCATCATGGTGAAGAGATGTTAGGGATTGAGAGAAATAACATGCGCATTTTTCGCATCAAATTGTCCTGACCCCACTGGTCGAGAGTGAGTGATTCATTTTTTCATATTCTATATACTCTTGTACCCCGGTGAGGACCTAGATTGCTCGGTCTCTATTCTGATGTCTTGAGTTGGATGCATGAGTTGACTGTTTTGAGTAAGTGGTTGAGTCAAGTCTAGCTTGGTTGGTGAACAGAAGGTAGACTCTTCCTTTACTCGATTTTGCTGCACTCGAATGTCCTTTGTGGTGGTTGTCCAGGTTGCTATTGAAGTTGGTCAGGTGTTGATGTTTGAAAACCAGTACAATTCACGTGTTCTGTGCCTTTATGACTTGTCCCCAATGTTGGTTGATTGAAATATGTAAGCTTACCTTGTGTCTGACTTGGTTTGCTTGGGGACAAGCAAACGGTTAAGTGTAGGGGAGTTTGATAGACCGTTATTTACACATGTTTTTACCTCTGTTCTTACACCGTTTGAGATGGTAATTCTCGTGTTTTAGGCCGATTTCACGCTAGGTTGTGTTTGTTTGTGATATTTCAGGTCCTAGAAAGTGAATGAAGGTTTAGGAGCGAGTTCGGGGTCGATTGGACGAAGATCGGGCGTGAGGCAAGTCAAGAAGGAGGCCACACGGGCACAACCACAACTCACACGGCCGTGCAGGTGACCACTTTGGCCGTGTGAGATTGTGCGAGCCTTCACACGGCTTGCCCTGACATCCACACGGTCGTGTGAAGGAGTGGTTTGGCCGTGTGGAATTATGCGAGAGCAAACACGGGCTGGATGGAAATCCCACACGGCCGTGCGACCCTGGCCGTGCGGGAAGCCTGAAGGTCGAACTAATTGGAACGCAGCGTTTTGACTCACACGGGCAACTGGGTATGCCACACGGCCGTGTGGCCCAGCCCGTGTGAGTCGGGAATTCCTGGTTTTAACCCAATTTCGGGCTGCAAGAGAGAGAATCGGATTTTTTGAGCAAAAACAGAGCCCTAGAGAGAGAAAGTACGAAGAACACATCCTAGAAGCTATCTTGGAGCTGGGTTTCATCAAATCAAGCTTGGAGATCGTCATAGGAGTGGAAATCATCATCCCAGAGCAGATTCTTCCCATAATTATGAGTATGACTGCTTTGTATCTTGTTTTCCTCTCTGTCTCTATGGAGTAGAACCCCTCTCTCACTTGGGGATGAAGAACCCTAGTTCTATGTGTTAGGGATTGATTGTAATGACTTGGGATGATATTACTGTTTGATTTTAATCGAATGATGCATGTTTATTGAGTCAATTGAAGTCTGATCAACTTTTCCTGATTCCTGCTGCAATCTGAGATAGATAGAATCTGATTAGGTTGCTAGAGTCTCATCATTCGGTAGTAGGAGATTGGCTATACGAGAGTTAGCCAGTTTACTGCTTTGTACTGGAATCCAATTCTAGTAGTGGAGTTCTGTTCTTACTGCTTCAGTTTTCTATCCCGGTGAAGACTAGTCGTCTGTCGAGTAGTTAGACCGAGAGGGTTTGGTCAGCTTAAGAGATTCCAAGCTACTGTCGGATCTTCCGCAGTCTAATCAACAGTAAATCAACCCAGGGAAATACAATTGAAACCTAACTAAGGAGCTAGGGGGACTCATTCCCGAGTGACTCTTATCTGCTTGACAAAACCGTATCAATTCCTACTTTCTTTCTGCTATTGCTTTTAAACAACAATCACTTACTTTAGTTGGCTAGATAATAGATAATAACTGAGTAAGCAGTAGATCTAGAACCCGGGTTGATAATATAACTTGTCACTTTACTGCATTCCCAGACTGCGATTATACTTGGTCGCAGTTTGGTGTTGTGTTTTGGCGTGTTAACACTCCCAAATTACTCAGATTGATAGATAAACCACGGAAAGTTCTTTACTGGTATGGACTCTTGACTAAAGTTATCCAGACCCTCTTAGTTCGAATACCCGGCGGGCGACTAACCTCCATCGGGTTTTGCTTCAGCACTCTCTCTCTCTAGGGTTCTTTTTCTGCCTTTAGAAGTCCAAAAATCTGGATCCTTTGCAAATTTCTCGAGCAGCCTTTAAATAGACTGAGAATCCTTGAGGTACAGCCGAAGTTACGGTCGTAACTCTGCTTGCCTGCTCGTAAATTCCCAGAGAACGACATCGTTGCACTCCATAAACCAAGAGTTACGACTTCTTTGGGGGAGCTACAGTCTCAACCGTAACTTGAAGAGGGAGACCGTAACTCCAAAATCGTCTCTGGAATTGTTGTTGGCAGCTAACCAAGAGTTACGGGCACAGAGGATGAGTTACGGCCATGACTGTAACTTGGCAGATCTTCCCGTAACTCTAGAAAGTCTTCTGGAACTTTGCCTCCATCACTCGCCAGTTACAACTCCTCGAGGGAAGTTCGGGCCAGACCGTTACTTGCAAGGTCTGGCTGTAACTCCCAGGTTCTAACTGCCCACTTGCTCCAAAATGTCTCGAAACTTTGCTCCTTCGTGCCCATTCACGTACTAAGTCATGAAACATCATAAAAGAACACAACCCAGCGTAAAATAGGCCACGAGAGTGATAGACCAAGCTCAAACGGTCGAGAAATGACGGGAAAAACATGTTCAAATATGGTGTTATCAAATTTCCCCACACTTAACCGTTTGCTTGTCCCCAAGCAAACCCAATTAAAACCAATTCATCTCTCCGGACCTTTATAGTAACATGCAACCCCGATCGTCGGTAGAGGATTTCCTAGATCAATGAGCAACTTACGAGGTCAACTGGTCTTCTAAGACGTCCCCTATCTTTCTCAATGCGAGTATTAGACTCAAGCCATGATCATGAGAAACAATGGAACTAGGACAGTCAATTCATGGATAAAGAGATACAAATTTAACAACCAAGGACTCTTTGTATCAGGTGTTCTTCCATTCTATTTCTTTCGTTGGAACACCTTTTTCATTCTTTTTTGTTTTCTTTTTCTTTCTTTTTTCTCATTAAAACTTTGATGGGGTTCCAAACTGCAGTTTTATGCGCTGTCGACCCTTATTGATCGAGCAAGAGCAATTTATGTAGATCTGTCACTCGCCGTAGTACTTCTTTTAACTCCTTTTCCTCGACTCATGTTGAGGGTCAATGAAATTAAGGGGGTCAGAAGCTCTATCCGTGCCCTTAAAAACACATCCTAGAGTAGGAAAACCGTTCAACGGGTGAAATTTTTACTTGTACTAGAGACGGCTTAGCTTCACCTTGTAGGCTTACCACACTAAGGATCACTAAAATCCCTTCCAAAACCCGATTTTTGTGCAATGAACGGTGCCACACACGTTGTGCTTACCCCATGTTTAAAACTTCAAATTTTTCCAACATGGAGGACCAACTGCTTTTCCATTCAATTGAGCACCATCTACGATACACGAGTCCACAACACAGCATAGTGGGAGTCATCCATACCACATGAATCAAATGTCCTAAATCCACTAGTTCACAAAATCAACCAGCACAACAACGAGACAGATAGGAAAAATTGTATACTTCAGCATCCTCCATAGTGCTACAACTACCTCCCTAGGTTGCACGTTACCATAAAGACTGTCAATTCAAAGCATAATGAGCAGGTTATTGCACGGAACAGTACTTGGAGCCCTCAAATCGTAAAATTTGGACAGTGGACTAGGCTCCAAGCACACAAACATATCATGCAACCAAAGATAAACACCCCCCCCCCCACACACACACACTTGAATTCAACATCGCCCTCAATGAAGAAGAGGGGACGATAAGGGGAGCGATGTTACCGGGAAGAACATCCTGCAGTGGGACTGGAAATGGGACCAGTCGGCGGGAGCATACTGGATATGGACCAGATTCTCAGAACAACCAAAAGTCAACACAAACACTCATATGGGGTAAGAGTTAGGAACATCAGTGTCAGCCCCATGGGACACAATAGAACATAACAAGACACACATTATCCAGTTCGACTAAAATCACAAAAAATAAAAACACCAAACACATGAAATAGGGAACTCGTGGTCAAGCATCAATCCTCCTTGTCATCATCGTCCTCAGGAGGGGAAGGATGAAAGAAGGTCTGGGTAATGTCCACATCCTCTTTTGCGGACAGATGCTCCAGCAGGAAGTGGGAGTAGTGCCTGCCGTCACGCTCACGATCGAGGCGCGCCTCAATCTGATCGAAAACGAACCTCCATGGCAGCCCAGTGGCCGCCAGGTGGTGCAACTGAAGAGGACCCGGCACCAGGATCACAGGGAAAGACGGGTGGAGGCGGGGGAGGCTTGGCCGCGACCACCTCATCGAACTCGCCCGAACGCAAGCCCTTGATCCAGCGGATCCGCGAGTCTGTCCTCGCCACCTGAATAAACTCCATGGAGCTCAAGGTCACATTTGGGTAGACCATGGAGCGCCCGACCAAGATGCAGTCGTCCAACGGCACACCGAAGTAGCGAGCCAGGCGCGAGATGTAGGGTGCACTATGCAGGGTGGAGACCTTCATGTTGTTCCTCACCCGGGAGAAGGAAATCGCAAGAACAGATCCCGGGTTGAGGCCATCCTCAACTCAACTCATGGATATGAGTGCGTACATATGAAACTTCGTCACGTGCTAGGACTCCTCCTGACTGGTGATGACGGAGTGAGCTAGTAGCGCCTGAAGGAAACGCCACGAAGTCTGCAGCTGGGTGACTCTTGTCTGGCGTGGGCATAGGGGACAACGACGTGCTGGTGCAGGCAGATTCGCTCTTAGAATCCCTAGTAGTCCGCGTGATGAAAGGTCGGCTCGACCTCCCAGATGTGAGTGGAGTCCAAGCCCAGGGCGGTGCTGAACTCGTGGTAGCTCAGACTGTAGTGGTGACTCCCAAGTCGGAAGCTAATGGCACCCACAAGGTAGGCGAGCTTCTTCCGGGTGTGGGTGAAGGTGTTGTAGAAACCCAGGGTGGGCTCCTCGTAAATGTCGTCCTGGAGCTCCAGCAGGCGACGCCAATGAGGGTGCGGGATGGTTGCTGCCATGGTGTTGCGGCAGTGAAACTGGTTGAAGATGGCGAGATCGAGTGTGTAGTGGCACTCAATCTCGGCCTCCCTTATCTTGGCGAACGCAGCGTCGTAGGCCTCGATGTACCGGAGGTCCTAGAAAAATGCATGGTCTAGGTCGACTGATGACTCGATATTTGCACATGTTTTCCCCTTTGTTTCTTGACTGTTTGAGCTTTAATTATCGCGTCTTTAGCCTATTTTATGCTAGGTTGTGTTCCTTTGTCACATTTCAGGTCCTAGCACATAAGGTGAAGCATAGGCGAAAGTTTCAAGTCAATCAGAGATCAATTGGCGATTAGGGAGAAGAAACTCGGGCATGACCTGAAGAAGAATTATTTTCTACCTCACTTTATGGAAAAATAATCATCCAAACTTGTCATGAAAAGAAAGAGGACGAGACTACGAGCTTCTGGGATCAAACGACGACTGATTCGGAGTCCAGACGAGGGAGAAACGAAGCATTGAATATAGGGGAAGAGGTTCGGCAGTAAAAACACGGGCTGGCCTAAAGAAAAACACGGCCGTGTCCATATTTAGGCACGACCGTGTTTTGGCCGACGAGGCCTGTTGGGGGGAAAACACGGGCGGGGAAAAGTAAAACACAGCCGTGTCCTCGACCGTGTTTTGCCCATAATCAGGGTTTTGAGGCAGATTGAAGCCAAAGGAAAGGGGGAGCTGGGTTTTGGATCTCAAACACCCAAGGGACGAACCAAAGAGAGAGAGGGCGATTTGAGGGCATTCTAAGAGTGGAATTGGAGGATTTCTTTGCCTTGGAAGCTCGAGGAACAAGCTCGGACTTGAAGACTGATCATCTGAAAATTCTTACTGCAGTCTCTCTCTTCTCTATGGAGTAACTTCCCTTCACTTAGGTTTTGAGGAACCCTAACTATGTTTGTTCGATTGGATTATTGTATGAGTACTCTTACTTGATAATCTTGAGTTCATATTCAATCTATGCATGTTTTCATGATTCAATTATGCTTTAGTTGAGATTATTGATTTTGCTTTGATCCGATGAGAGCAAATACCTGATTAGGTCAATAGAGCACCATAGATTGATAGTATTGGATCGATTGCTTTAGTCGAGGGTTGATTCACTGCTTTGTATCGATTGAGAACCTCATTCGATAGAGGGAATCTAGTTCACAACGCCTTGATCGGTTGTTCTAGAGAAGGATACGTCCCTCTAGGCAATTGACTAAAGAGGGCCTTGTTCCTTTAATCGAGACAGTGAGAGATCATGATCCAGGATGGATCATTGTATCCAAGCCTATCGTAAAACAGAGGAGATCCTCCTGAGCCTTAAGAAGAGCGTCGATGATCTTGAGCGATCTTGTGCACAACCTGCTCCAGATCACCCTCCTGCTACCATACTGGAAGAGGAGGAGGAAGAAGAAGGCTACAAGGACATTGTGGAGCACACTGAAGTTGTCACGGAGAGCTCCCGTGATGATCATGATCAGGAATGTCCTGTCGTAGCCGACCACACCTTCCCACATCCCAAACTGAGCTTTGAAGAGGCGGCCATGAGTGAGGAGGTGCAAGAAGATCTCATGAAAGAAATTGTTTAGCAACTTGCTCACCAATCCGGGCTAGAAGAAGAAGAGCAAGAAAGAGTGCAGAAAGAAGTTGTGGAGGATGACGAAAGTGAAGCAGGAGGATTTCTTGATCATTTCCCAGGGGTGATACCACATGAACAAGGAAGGGAGGTTGAAGAAGCAATTGGCGTCCAGGCCGAGCACGAAGTTGAGGTGGAAGAGGCATGCACCGACCATGAGTTGCAAGTAATATCCCCACCAAACTTCAAGGAACTGCTTAGCAAGGACCCATTTGCAGTGTCTCTTTGCCAGACCAAGGCCACATCGACATCGGTCCCTCTTGGTGGACGCAATGGTGGTCAATCGATGTTGTCATATCTGATTTGGGGCAATGAGACGAGAGAAGAGAAGAAGAGGTCTCGAGGGTGGAGACTTCATCTGCATCAAGTGCACGAGCTTCCATCACCTGTCATACCACATGCTCGTGACTTGAGACTCCACCTCATTGACGAGAACCTCAAGTTCAAAGAGTTTCTGGGGTGGACTGAAACTTAGGAGCCATCGTCCGGCTCACGACGTGAAAGAAGCGCTTGTTGGGAGGCAACCCAACCAGTAGGTTTTCATTTCTTTCTCTATTTCTCCTTGGTTGAGTCAGTTTTGTTCTTTGATTTTAGAGTCAATAACTCAAACTTTGTGAGATTTTGTGTGGTGTTTGTGTTCTGACCACTCTCTCCTCCTGGAATACACCGCCTGCCCCGTCCACCATCATTCACCCTTGATCTGGTAAATTCGTTCTACCCTCCTTATCTTTCTTCCATTGAGGACAATGTCGTGCTTAAGTGTGGGGGGATGTTCGATTATGTATGCGGGTGAATGTTTGGCTGTTTGTGTGCTTGGAGCCTAGTCCACTGTCCAAATTTTACTCCAAGTACGTGTTTCCTTGCAAATTGCCTGCTCAGTATGCTTTGAATTGATAGTCTCTCTATAGTAATGTGCAACCTAGGGAGGTAGTGTAGCACTATGGAGGATGTTGAAGTATAAGATTTTTCCTATCTAGCTCTCTGCTATGCCAGTTGATTTTATGAATTAGTGGAGCTAAGACCGTTGAATTCATATGGTAATGGTGACTCTGTTTGGATTGTGTTATGGACTCGTGTATCGAACATGGTGCTCATGTGAAAAATGAAAAGCAGTTGGTCCTCCATGTCGAAATCATTAAATCTTAAACATGGGGTAAGCCCAATGTGTGTGGCACCGTTCATTGCACAAAATCTGGTTTTGGAAGAGATTTTAGTGCTCCTTAGTGGGGTAATCCTACAAGGTGAAGCTAAGCTATCTCTAGTACAAGTAAAACTTCCACCCGTTGAACGGTTTGCCTACTTGAGGATGTGTTTTTAAGGGCACGGATAGAGCTTCCTACCCCCCTTAATTTCATTGACCCTCCACACGAGTTGAGGAAAAGGAGTTAAAAGAAGTACTCTGGCGAGTGCCAGATGTACAGAAATTGCTCTTGCTCGACTAATAAGGGTCGACCGTGCAAAAGACTGTAGTTGGAACCCCTGCTAAGTGAATGAGAAAGAAAAAAAAGAAGTAAAATGAAAGTGAAAAGGGGTTCCAACGGTAAAATGAAGTGAAAGAGCACCCCAGTACAACGAGTCCTTGGTTGTGAATGGTGTGAGTCCCTTTATCCATGAACTGACCGTCTTACTTCTACTTCTTCTCATGATCCTGGCTTGAGTCTAGTACTCGCATTGAGAGAGATAGGGGACGTCTTAGAAGACAAGTTGACCTCGTAAGCTGCTTTATGATCTAAAAAGTCCTCTACCGAGGATCGGGGTTGTTTGTTGCTATAGAGGTCTGGAGATTTGCATTGGTTGAGTCAGGTTTGCTTGGAGACAAGCAAACAGTTAAGTGTGGGGGGATTTGATGACTCGATATTTGCACATATTTTCCCTTTTGTTTCTTGACTGTTTGAGCTTTAATTATCGCGTCTTTGGCCTATTTTACGCTAGGATGTGTTCCTTTGTCACATTTCAGGTCCTAGCACATAAGGTGAAGCATAGGCGCAAGTTTCAAGTCAATCAGAGATCAATTGGCGATTAGGGAGAAGAAACTAGAGCATGACCTGAAGAAGAATGGATTTCTACCTTACTTTATGGACAAAGAATAATGCAAGCTTGTCATGAAAATAAAGAGAACGAGACTATGAGCGTCTGGGATCAAACGGCGACTGATTCGGAGTCCGGACGAGGGAGAAACGAAGCATTGAATATAGGGGAACAAGTTCGGCAGTAAAAACGCGGGCTGACCTAAAGAAAAACACGGCCGTGTCCATATTTAGGCACGACCGTGTTTTGGCCGACGAGGGCTGCTGGGGCAAAACATGGGCGGGCAAAAGTAAAACACGACCGTGTCCTTGACCGTGTTTTGCCCAGAATCGGGTTTTTGAGGCAGATTGAAGCCAAAAGAAAGGGGGAGCTGGGTTTTGGATCTCAAACACCCAAGGGACGAACCAAAGAGAGAGAGGGAGATTTGAGGGCATTCTAAGAGTGGAATTGGAGGATTTCTTCGCCTTGGAAGCTCGAGGAACAAGCCAGGACTTGAAGACTGATCATCTGAAGATTCTTACTGCAGTCTCTCTCTTCTCTATCGAGTAACTTCTCTTCACTTAGGTTTTGAGGAACCCTAGCTATGTTTGTTTGATTGGATGATTGTATGAGTACTCTTACTTGATAATCTTGAGTTCATATTCAATCTATGCACGTTTTCATGATTCAATTCTGCTTTAGTCGAGATTATTGATTTTGCTTTGATCCTATGAGAGCGAATACCTGATTAGGTCAATAGAGCACCATAGATTGATGGTATTGGATCGATTGCTTTAGTCGAGGGTTGATTCACTGCTTTGTATCGATTGAGAACCTCATTCGATAGAGGGAATCTAGTTCAGAACGCCTTGATCGGTTGTTCTAGAGAAGGATACGTCCCTCTAGGCAATTGACTCAAGAGGGCCTTGTTCCTTTAGTCGAGACTCAAGGTCTAGTCAAGGATTCTCCGCATTGTGAATGAAAGTGAAACAAGTTAGAAATCATCAATCGTTAATCTGGCTAGTGGCTAGGGGGAATCATACCTAAGTGAGTTCCCAACCTGTAATTAGATTAACTTTAACTGTAGTTTGCTAGAGTAGTTTTAGTTCTTCCTTATTAATCTGGTTTGCTAAATAATGAAATGAAGCTGAGTAATAGTAACTCTAGAGACCCGTGGATTCGACATTTATTACTTGAGCCACTATACTGCAGTCCCTTTCATTGGTTACAATTGGCCATTGTTAGGTGTTGTGTCATAGCGAGTCATCGACCATCTTCCTGGAGACACAAGAAGGAAGGTAGAGCGAGTAGGAAGGCGGGAGAATGCTTGACGAAATTTGGACCCGGGACAGCCGCCGGAGGGTTGCTAGAGGAAATTTCCGGGGAGGTGGAAAGTGGGGCGACAGGGGAAAGGGGCGTGTCGTGTCGTGCGCCTCCTCGGGAGGAGTCCAACGCCGCAACATGCATTGCGATCAGAGGTTGGGAGCGGCCGGAACAGTGACGTGAAGGGGCGGCGGTGATGGTCTCCGTCGAAGAGGGTGGATGTTTTTGGTGCGGAGTGACGGGCGTAGCTCGCCCTTTTATAGATGAAGCGCAAGTTACGGCTTCATCGGATGAGTTACGGCCATAACTTGGGCTGTAACTCAGTGACTTGGACTGAGCCTTTAGAGTTACAGGATGATCGGAAATGGTACGGTCGTAACTACGACCATAACTTCTCCAATCTCCTGAGACATGTAGAGTTAAGGGTTGGGGGTTACGTTACAGTTGAGGGTGTAACTTCCCACATAAGCCAGTAAGCTTTTGGGTTCGCAACTTGTAGTTATGGGCTAGGCTCGGGAGTTATAGCCTAGGTCGTAACCTTATGGGAATCACCCCAGTCGTCCTAGAAGGTTTTTCAGAGTTATAGCCAGACAGTCAAGTTACAACCATGGCCGTAAATTGAGGCATGTCCCCATAACTCTGAAATGTCTTCTGCCTTCTCTGCCCAAACATGCCAGAAACAACACGAAACACTTGAAAAACACCCCAAAGGCCCGCGAAGCCGAATTTTCACCCACATAGACTTCACATGAAATGAAATTGACCATGAAACTCCATGTTCGACTCTCGACACAAAAAAAATCACAAAAAGAAAAAGAAAGAAAATGCAAACCGAGGTGGGGTTGCCTCCCCAAAAGCTTTTCTATACTGTCTTTTAGCTGGACGCCCATGACGGAGCTAAGGGTCCGCAAGATCAATCACCAAGTCCGCGCGTTCGACATCGCCTCCCAGGTACAGTTTGAGGAGATGCCTGTTCACCTTGAAGGGATTAGTCTACAGATTGGCGATTTCGACGGTGCCGTAGGGAAACACCTGGGTGACCGTGAACAGTCCATACCACCTGGAGCGCAACTTTCCTGGAAAGAGTCACAGGCGAGAGTTTAATTGTAGAACACGATCGCCCACCTGAAACTCCTTTGGGCTTTTGAGTCGAGCGTCGTGGAGATGCTTGATTTGCTCCTTATATAGTCTAGTGTTCTCAAAGGCGTGGTAACGCCACTCTTCTAACTCCACTATCTACTTTTTACGTTCGGTACCTGCAAGACTCACATCAAGATTTAGCAGCTTAAGGGCCCAGAAGGCCTTGTGCTCTAGCTCAACGGGTAGATGGCAGGCCTTTCCATAGACAAGCCGATAGGGAGAGGTCCCAATCGGTGTCTTGTAGGCCGTCCGATATGCCCACAGAGCATCACCGAGCTTGGTGGACCTATCTTTACGGGATTGGTCCATTGTCTTTTCTATGAACCGTTTTAGCTCCCTGTTCGTCAGCTCGGCTTAACCATTTGTTTGGGGATAGTAAGCCACTAACACCTTGTGCGTCACATCATAGCGAGAGAGGAGCTTAGTGAATTGGCCCTGAAAGTGGGTTCCTCTATCACTAATGATCGCTTAGGGTGTCTCAAACCGGGAGAAAAGCTGCTTCGGAAGGAGCAGACTCGTCTTGCGTCATTGGTGGGCATGGCTTGAGCTTCTGCCCACCTCGAGAGGTAGTCCACCGCAATCAAGATATATAGATTACCAAACGAAGGAGGACAGGGACCCATGAATTCAATGCCCCAGACATTGAAAATTTCACAAACCACAAACGACTTCTGGAGCATCCCATCACCGCGGTGATGTTACCTGATCGCTGACATCGATCGCACTGGCATGCGAAGGCATCAACATACTTGAAGAGTGTGGGCCAATTGAAGCCCGACTGGAGCACCTTCCGCGCCTTGCGGTTCCCCCCCCCCCCCCCCCCCCCCCCCCCCCCCCCCCCCCCCATAATGACCGCCAGCTGGTGCCTCATAATAGTGAGACACGATGGCTCCCATCTCGTGCTCCATGACACACCAATGAATCACGCAATCTGCTCCAATCCTAAAGAGGAATGGATCCTCCCAAAAATAGTGCTTCGGGTCGGGGAAGAACTTATGCTTAGAGTGAGTAGCCATCCCCTTGGGTAACTGCTTGCCTACCAAATAATTGGCAAAGTCAGAATTCCAAGGAGTGACACTCTCCACCAAGCATAGCGCCAGAAGTCGCTCGTCTAGGAAGGATTCGTTGATCTCCTCCACGAAGTTGTCCACCGGAGAGGCTTCCAACTGTGAGAGGTGATCTGCTGCGATGTTCTCCACTCCCTTCTTATCCCGGATCTCGATATCGAACTCCTGCAAATGCAGGATCCAGCGGATGAGCCTCGGCTTGGCATTAGCCTTGGTCATCAAATAGCGAATGGCTGAGTGGTCGGTATAGACCACAACATGAGAAAACACCAGGTACAATTGAAACTAGTCGAAAGCGTACACCACTGCAAACAACTCCTTCTCTGTGGTGGTGTAGTTCTCCTGGGCATCGTTCAAGATCTTCGACGCGTAGTAGATAGGCTGGAAATGCTTATCGCGTCGCTGGCCAAGAACAGCTCCGATCGCATAGTCACTTGCATCGCACATCAGCTGGAAGGGTTGAGACCAATATGGAGTCACCATGATGAGTGTATGGGTAAGCTTCTCCTTCAAAGTCTCGAATGCAGCTGTGCACTCTGAAGTGAAGTGAAATGGTGCGTCTTTCTCTAGCTGCTTGGTCAATGGCAGGACAATCTTCAAGAAATCTTTGATGAAGCACTGGTAGAAGCCTACATGACCAAAAAACCTATGAATCCCCTTCACGGAAACAGGGGGAGGTAGCTTGCTGATCGTCTCTATCTTTGGCGATCTACCTCGATCCCCTTTTTGGAGATCTTGTGCCCGAGCACAATACCTTCACGAACCATGAAATGGAACTTCTCATAGCTAAGTTCCAAGTTCGTCTCCTCGCACCTCTTCAGGACAAGCTCTAGGTTATGAAGACAATGTGAGAAGGAATCACTATAAACCGAGAAGTCATCCATGAAGACTTCCATGATCTCTCTGACTAGTCGGTCTAAAATAGCCAACATACACCACTGGAAGGTCGCTGGTGCATTACAAATCCTGAATGGAATCCTCTAGTATGCAAAAGTACCAAAGGGACATGTGAATTTGGTCTTCGCTTGATCCTCTAGTGTGATGGGAACATGGAAATATCCAGACATGCCATCCAAAAAGGAGAACTCGTGGCCAGCAATCCTTCCTGGTGGCATCATTCAGGCGTTGGTAATCGATGCAGACTCGCCAGCCAGTCACGGTCCGCATCGGGATCAACTCATTCTTCTCATTCGGGACCACAGTCATCCAGCCTTTCATCGGGACCGACCCTCTTGCTATAAGATATAGGAAAGATGATCCCTGCATCCATCAACTTCATGATATCTACCCAGACCACTGCCTCCAAGTTAGGAGTCAATCTTCGCTGCCGTTGCCTGACTGGCTTAACCTCATCCTCCATAAATATTCTGTGGGAGTAGAAGGATGGTCTAATGCCTCTAATGTCAGTTATCTTCCACACCATGGCTCGGGCATACTTCTTTAGCAGAGCCACCAGACTACTCTTTTGCTCGGTGGTCAGTTCCAACCTAATAATTACCAAAAGCTTATTCCCCTCCCGGAGAAACGAGTACTCCAAGTGAGAGGGGAGGGGATTAAGATCCAAATTTGGTGGCTCCTCCAATGATATGGCGATTCGGGGCGAGATAGGGATCGACTTGAATGGCTTCTCTCGCCCACGATCGTAGCTCCCTCTAGCTCGGCGAGCTACTCCTCTAGCTGCACATCCTGCAATGCATGTTCCCCTAGAAAAAGACAACGCTCTAGGGAATCATCAGTACCCGCACTCGTGATGGCGAGTGCGGTCTCAAAATCAGTAATAACTTCGCACTAATCTAAATTGTCATAGAGCTGGGGGTGTTTAATATTATCTGAAACAGAGAAGGTGATTTGTTCACCCCCAGCCTTCAAAATTAGTTTTTCATCGTTGACATCAATTAGCGTCTTCGCGGTGGCGAGAAAAGGTCTACCATGAATTAAAGGCACATCCACATCCTCATTTATAACAAGAATAAAAAAATCAACAGGATATGAGAATGGCCCTACTGCGACAATCAAGTCCTCTACAATGCCCCTAGGATGCACAATGGATCTAACTGCTAACTGAATGCTCATCCTAGTGATACTGGGTTCACCTAGGCCTAGCTTTTTGAACATTTTATATGGCATTACATTTATGATAGCGCCTAAATCCGCCAAGGACTTCCCTACATGCAAACTACCAATCATGCCAGGGATAGTAAAACTCCCTGGGTCTTTTCGATCCTCTGGTAGCTTGTTCTGCAGGATGGCAGAACACTCCTCGTTGAGCATCACCGTCGACAGCTCCCCAAGTTTCCTCTTGTTGGTGAGGAGATCTTTCATGAATTTAGCATACTTGGGCATCTTCGACAATGCCTCCATGAAAGGCATACTGATGTTCACCTGCTTCAGCATTGCCATGAATTTGGCAAACTCAGTCTCCAGTCGGTCTTTGTGCAACCGAGTAGGAAAGGAAGTTGAGGGACATACTCCTACACCACTGGTTGCGATGTAGGAGCATGAACCTCAACCCCCTTCTCCATTTCTTCTTCAATAGCTGGAAGTGATGAAGCAGGTTTCTCTCCCTCCTATATGGTCTGGACAGCTGCAGTCACTCTACTGCTCCTTGTAATAACAACATTGCAGTGGGCATTCAGGTCCCTCTGCGCAATAACTTGAGCCACACCTCCAAGTTGGGTCCGGATATCCCACATCACAGCTTGGGTATTCCGCTGCCCGGCTTCAAGTGAACTCTAATCAACTTCAAGGTCTAGGAACTGCCCCGAAGCCTTTTCCATGAACCACTCCATGTTGCTGAACTTCTGGGCATCGGTGTTGGCCAGGGCACCAACAATGTATCGCGGCTCCGCTATCTGGTCACGCGGTGCGGAAGCGGCTGGGACTGTACCCAGCTGCTGGAACTGATCGCCTGCTATGGAGGAAAAGTTTGCTCCTGCG